TCTTGGTTAAGGATGAAGGAGTACTTACCACTCCACCACAACCCTTGTTGGTAATAAATTTTAAATACGTTAGTATGATTATTTGTTTTTTCTAATAAATTTACTAATTGATTGTTAGTTTGTTGGTAATATATCATTCAAGTTCAATGTTAGGTTAGTAATTGATTGACAATATGTTCAAAATATTATTAACTGAATGATTATCCAATAGTAAAATATTTATTAATTTATTGCATTTAAAAATCTAAGAGCACGAATATAAATCCAAAAATATTAATATCAATTTTATAAATCATATTTGAATGAAACAATGCAAAATCTATGATAACAAGTTAAATTAATCTCAATATGACACATATCATTATATCAAATTTTTTAATTTGAGCACGTTTACCAAAAATATTGACCAAATCTAAATTTTGGCAAAAACTTAAAAGTTAAAACGCCCAACAGCACAAACTGAAAATGGGAGCCTCAAAACCTGAATCAACCATCCTATTAGATATAAAAATGACCTTCTGAAACTAATCGCGCTAACGGAATTCTCATCAGAGCACGTTTACAAAAAATGTTAAGCAAAGTCAAATTTTGGCCAAAAGTTAAAAGTTAAAACGTCTAACGGTACAAACTGAATATGAAAACCTCAAAATCCAAACCAACCATCCTAAAATATGAAAAATGACCTTCTAGAGCTAACCGCGCTGACGAAATTCAAATTTGAGCATGTTTCCCAAAAAAATTGACTAAAGTGAAATTTTGGCCAAAACGTAAGATTTAAAACACCTAATGGCACAAACAAAAACGGAAGCCTCAAAGCTTGAACCAACCTTCCTGATAAAAAAATGAACCTTTCGAAAGCTAATGACACTGACAGAGATCTAATCTGAGCACGTTTACCAAAATATTGACCAAATCTAAATTTTGGCAAAAACTTAAAAGTTAAACGCCCAACAGCACAAACTGAAAATGGGAGCCTCAAAACCTGAATCAACCATCCTATTAGATATAAAAATGACCTTCTGAAACTAATCGCGCTAACGGAATTCTCATCAGAGCACGTTTACAAAAAATGTTAAGCAAAGTCAAATTTTGGCCAAAAGTTAAAAGTTAAAACGCTTAACGACACAAACTGAATATGAAAACCTCAAAATCCAAACCAACCATCCTAAAATATGAAAAATGACCTTCTAGAGCTAACCGCGCTGACGAAATTCAAATTTGAGCATGTTTCCCAAAAAAATTGACTAAAGTGAAATTTTGGCCAAAACGTAAGATTTAAAACACCTAATGGCACAAACAAAAACGGAAGCCTCAAAGCTTGAACCAACCTTCCTGATAAAAAATGACCTTTCGAAGCTAATGACACTGACAGAGATCTAATCTGAGCACGTTTACCAAAAATATCAACCAAAGTCATGTTTTGGCTAAAATTTAAAAGTTAAAGCCTAACGACACAAACTGAATATGAAAGCCTCAACACTAGACGCTGATTTACCAAAAAGTTTAACTTCAATTGATAAATTTACCAACTATTCAAATATAAGTTAGTAATTAATAATTTACCAATAAATTTTATCACAGTTGGTAATAGTTACTATTCAACTAAACATTCATATGTAATATTACCAACTAATAATTAATATGTTGGTAAATTTTACCAATGGATTAATGATCGGTTGGTATATTACCAACTATTTTAATGATGTTAGTAATTTACTAACTACAATCTTTATTCGTCGGCAAAATTTCCAACTAATTGGATATTGGTTGCAAGTTTACCAACAAATTACATTTCGTTACTAATTTACCAACACATTTATATTTGGTTGGTAAATTTAGCAACACAATCTTGCTGTTGGTAAATGTTTGGTTAGTAATTCATTGGTAATATGTTAATAAATTATATAAACAATTTTTTGTCATATTTACCAACAGATCTATACTTCGTTGGTAATATTACCAACAAAAGGTGTGCGTTAGTAATATTTCAGTTGGTAATCCATTGATAGAATGTTGCTAAATTTGGCGCCATTTTTTCCCGCCGTATTTACCAACTAAAATACTTAGTTAGTAATATTTTGGTTGGTAATCTGTTAGAATTTTGTTGTTAAGTTTTAAAATATAATTCAGTTAGAAATATGTTGGTAATTTGTTAGTAGAATACTAACCAACTTGTGTTGTTAGTAAAATCTGTTGGCAATTTGGGGTTTTTTTGTAGTGATCATATTATTTCTGCATTTCCTACAATTGGTTAACCAATTTTCTGCTTTGATATTTAATCTTGAGAATTAAATTCTTGGAGTTGCTCTTCTGCACACTATACTGATTTAGGAAATTCACGTCTTGTTGGTGGGGGTTTGTTTATGAAGGAGGTTGCTTACTATAAGATGAAATCAAATCAAGTATTGATCATCAATGTAAAATATGAGATTCTACAACTATAACTTTACATGTTCAAGTAGGGAGGCATGGATCCTTAACACAAATGAAAAGTGAGGTGTGTTATGATACTGATAATAATGTAGTGAAATATTTTCATAGCAGACATAGATGAGAAGCTCTACATGCACCGAGAGTTCAACTGGATCTTAACCATGATACATGGTGGCAATGAGTACCAACTGTGAATAGGAATAGTAGTAGATAATAATGTATTAAGCGGACATCCCATATAATCTTGTGTGTGCTAGGCAGTGTCTTGATTTTTGAACAAAAAACACTCCACAACACGCGGATGTCAAAATATAACGGAGGCAGCGAGCATTATGTTTGTACCTTGAGTGATGATAATTGATGTTTTATTCAAAGGGAGTTTGATAAAGTGAAGCATTCAGGCAACATGTGAAGTGTCTCTGTTATTGATAAGGCTTTGTTGCTATAATTGTATAGAACTTCTTTTTTACTTATTTGGTTGTCATGTACACTTGTGGTGATGGGTTTGTTGTACCACACACTAAATATTTTAGACTCAACATGTGAATTACTTCTTACTCAACCAAATTCAATGATCGTCATTTCTCGCCTTGATATGCTTGCTCGTCGTTTTGGGTTCAAACAATATGAAGCAGGGAAGTATCACTACAACAAAAATAACTTTTAGCGGCAATAAATATAGACATTAATAAAGAGTGCTAAAGTATTTACCGCCATTAGTTAAGTGCCATTAGAACCAATATCGCTAAAGGCTGTAGGGACATATACAAAAAGTGCTAATTGCCGCTAAAATATACATGTAGCGGCAATTAAGCTATTACCATTAATTAATTGCCGCTAATGATCACTTTTGATGTAGTGTATATTCTCAAATTACCTCATGTTTTTAAGGTATTTGAACACCCAGTTAAGAGAATATTATATTACAGGCTTACTCGTAAATCATTGCTTCAAATTGAGCAAGCAAAACTAACACTTTTAGCTCAATTTCCTCAAGCTATAACCCGTTTAATAAAGCTTTTGTTTCTTTCGAATGCAGGGAGGTTAAGGTTAGAACATGTTAGGATTGCAAGGAAAAAATTTGGTTTACCTGATGATTTTGAGTTTTCTGTGGTTTTGAAGTATCCCAAGTATTTTAGATTGTTTGATGCTAAAGAGACTAGGAATAAGTATATTGAGGTTGTTGAAAGAGACCCGCGATTAACCGTCTTTAAATCCCAAGTATTTTCACATTTTCATATGTTTTTTTAAATTTTTCCTTGTACAGGCTATTGCAAAGGGTCGAGATTCAACACCAAGTGAGTTACATTTGCAAGTCCATACACATGGTCATGATGAAAAATCTTTTGTTGGTGAACGAGCTCGAATTGTATATGTAAGTCCAATATTCTATAATTACATTCACTTTATATATTCGTTGGTGGAAAAATTGTGTAAATCATTTTTTTTCAGGTAACGGCATCTCTCTCTATCTTTCCCCATTTTTTACCCAAAGAATGATAGGTATACAACTACTTATTGTTTGGACATCATAATAATTGAATTGCTTAGTGAAGGTGCCACCAATTTTAATGTTTCTGAAATAACTTGACATAGTCAGGTCTTCATATATATATGGCACAATAAATACTTTAAGTTGTTATCTTGGCATAAACTAGATGTGACTATTGTTATTGTTGTGGTTGTTATTAATGAATTTAACTGTTTATCATTCTCTTTAATAGGGAAAGTATCTAGAAATATTATAGAATCAAGCACAAACTCAATCTAATGTTAATCTATTGCAAGCATATTAGCAAGCCACATGATGGTAAAAGAAAAGAAGGATATATGGTCTTGGATCGCAAGCAAAATTATTTTACGGGAAGAATTTTTGTGCCTCAGCTTTTGGATATGATGTTTCATCCTTGATACCATGTACGAATGCTCAAACAACAACAACAAAAAATTTGGATGACTTTATGACGCGATTGATTCCTCCACTGACTGATCACATGCTTCTGTACTTGTTGAACGGGTACGTGGATTGATTTCTTCGACCTCATCTTAGCCAAACACTCATATGACACCTGTAATTCCTACTCCAACTAATATTGATGAGGCCAATGCATCGGTTTCTGAGTAAGATTGTGGTTCTCCGATCTCTCCTAATTAGTTTTGTTGGCTAAATATTATTTTTGTTGCAAATACTTTCATTTTTTTTTTGCTTGGAAATTATCGTTGGGGTTGTTTTAAACTTGGTTATACACTCTTCATTTTTTTGTGTTTTGGGTCTTCTAGAATATTAGTTTCTATGAATTAAGTTAATTTTGCAACTTTATAATATCTGTTTGAATATGATTTGCGATAATATTTTTGTCACTAATGTATTTAAAAATTAATGGCGAAGGAATTTTGCGAAATCCGTCAATATTTTCGTCACTATAAAAAGGTAGAAATGTATAAAAATTAATGGCGATGAAATTAGCGACGGATTTGCGATAATGTTTTTGTCGCTATAAGAAGGTAGAAATGTACAAGAAGTAATGGCGACAGAATTAGCAACGGATTTGTGACAATATTTTTGTAGCTACAAGAAAGGTAGAAATGTATAAAAAGTGATAGTGACGAAATTAACGATAAATTTCCAGTCATCAATACGATAACACGACGAAATAGCTTATAGAATTTGCGACAAAAAGTACAAATATAACGACGGTTTTTTTGGTCATTAGTTTTAACAACGGAAGATATCCGTCGCGCATCCGTCACTAAACTTACGACGGATTTGTATTTTTGTTGCTAAATGGTTAGCTACGTACATTATACCGACGGACGAATTTCCGTCGCTAAACCAAAATAGCGACGGAATAAGCTATTTAGCGACGAATTCCGTCCGTCGCTAAACACTATTTTTTTTTGTAGTGCGTTGTGGCTGTAGCCCGAGGGAGAGAACTAACAAGAGGCCGTGGTAGAGGTCGGGAGAAATCCCACCAGGGGTAGAGGTCAAGGAGCTAGCCAGCCAGGTCTTACGATACGATTTATTGACCAAGGAGAACAACAAAAATAACAATAATATATTCAGCATAATCTCACAAGTGAAATTTGAAAAGGTTAAAATGTAAGTAGTTTAGTTCCCCTAATTTGTAAAAGTAAAGAAACTATTTTCGATAGACCCTCGATACAAATTCAATATAATCTCATAAGTAGAGTCACAATTACCTCTCTATAAAATGACATACTCTAATTTTAATGTAGTATTTGAAGAAAAAAACAACGTATATTCATAATCAATGTCTTTCTTATTATTTTTATATTTTCTTATATTATTAGTAGTATTAGTTTTGCTTGAAGAAATCGTTTTGCTCAGTAAATGCGTAAAATTTGAACGGTTTTGAAAAGTAAAACTATACTTTATAAAGTACTTTTCTAGCTTTACACAACCAATGTCATGTATTAAAATTTGTAAGCCATTACAAACGACAATAATAAAAGTAATTGATAAACATTAAATGCTAAGAAATATTTTTAGATGTGAACTAATGTTCGAATAAAAGTGAAGAAGCCAGTAATAATCAATTAATGTGTTGGATAAAAAAGAGGTGAAAAAAATATTTTTATGAATGATTACGTATAATAAGCATTTGTGGTCTTACCTTTTTTCAAATCACTCATAACACTCATTCCTCCGTGCAATTTAGGGATGACAATTGGACGGGTTGGATTAAATTTGGGTGAGTCATAATGGATCAAGGCAACAAGGGGATCAAAACCCAACCAAATCCATATTTTTGCTTGGGTCAAAACGAGCTAGGTAATAGGTTATAAAACAGGTCAAGATCCAACACAATTCAATTTTTACTAAGTTTTAATTTCATTTGTTCTTTTAAAATAGTTTAGTCCCTAATAAAATTATTTTTTCTTTATTATGACTATATATAACATATTGAATAGTTAAAAACATTTTAAAAAAATTACCAGATCTCTCAATAAGTCAATTTTAGGTTACATATCAATCCAAATTTTAATGGGTTAAAATGGATTGGATTGAAATAAATTGATCTAATAAATGATCAGATCAATAATCTGTCCAAACTTAAACAAGTTGAATTTGAAAAAAAAAATCACCCTAATGCAACCCCCACACTCCTATCCTTTAGTGTTTGCTAAACCAAGAGCATATGCACTTTGATGGCAAAAGGAAATTTTTTTTATTCAATAAGCTTTTCTTGAACCAGACTAGATTATATATAAATGTTATTGGGACAATAACTTTTTCCTTGTATATTAAGCATAACTTAATCACTTATAATTTTCTGAAAAAATATTTCCGAGTACCAAACACACCCTACATGAGAAGTGTTTGTTTATTATATTTTTATTGTTATAGGAGAGACATATGCAAGAAACAATAAATAATTGGGAGGCATATGAATATGTGACTTGTGAAGTGTGTTGCCATGTGAAAATTGCAAATGCTCATCAAAGATCCAGCCTTTTCTTACCTTGGCTCCTAAGTCCCTTAATTATGCTTTAACAAACTCTTTTCCTCAATATATATTTCTATAATAATTAATAAAAAAAAGTCACTTTTTTGTTTTGCATTTTTCAGTACCATCTTATTCACACACAAAAACAGGTTAACACAACTATAATTTTTTGAATAGAGAGCACTTTCTCCTAAATGGAGCCTTATATGGAGCAAATATAAATTAGTTGAATTTCAATGCAAATACAAAATATCGACTTTTTCTATTTGCAACAAATTTTAAAGCGATAGAAATTAAACTACAATCACAAATAAAATATGAAGAAACATGATTTTATTGATAAATAGTGCGGGTATTCAATTATGTTCCTCCCTTGATTCTTCTCTCATGGATTTGATATCTGTATGAATATTCCATGAATTTGTGGAACATTCAAGATGCTTTTTCAAGGGAATATAGTACTCTTCATATAGGCATGAAGTAGGGTTTAATGTTGAGTAGCCTCCAACAATCCTAATTGGAATTGAACACACCTAGTATAGTTCCAACTCGAATTAAACACATCTTGTAGAGTCCCATAAAATTTCAAATATCTAAAATTTTATTTAATTCAAACTAACAAAATATAATTTATATATACAGAGAGTCGTGACTAGCTTAACGGTTAGTAAATTTTATATAATTTTGTGAATATTTATAAAAAAAATTGCCTTTTTTTTCTTCTAATTGAAGGATATACACAATAACCAAATATAACTTCTTTTTACCTTATTTTGGAACAAGAAAGTTGCAAGCAATCGTCAATAACTTGATTATAAATTAGGATATGGAGTGATTTCATTCAAGAAATTAATAATTTTAAAAAATTGCTTTATAAATAATAAATTTAATTGGAAAATATGTACAATAGAAACTCAAATCAAGGTACCAAAAAGGAAAAGTCTTTAAGCGTGAGAAAATATAATTAGATCAAAATAGAATGAAAATCATGTAACAAAATGATCTCCATAAATTAGGGGAATTAATTTTTATCAATTTTTAATATAAGAATAAGAGTCCCTAGACTGTGAATTGTGTATACGCCTAAAATCATTAGGAGTTTAACTTATATGTACTAATAACGTGTAAAACAAGAACAAGCTAAGGGAGTTAATGGCAGGTGTAACTCTATTTAATACTTATCCCGTTTGAAAAAAATCAAGAGATAATTTATCACTTAATTTCTAATTACCCTTATTCTTAACTATGATCATTTCCAATAATATTAAATTTATTATAATAAAAGGGTAATATATTTAATTTATTATTTTATTAATTATTATTTAATGAATACGTTAAATTAAACATGAACAAGTTAAAATATACGAAAAAGGTAACATTATTGATCGAATGCAACAAACAATAAATGGTAGTAAATAATTTGCTTTCTATAACATAAACCCAAAAAATTAACAACTCTTTTGGTATTGGTCAATTATTTACAAATTCTCTTAATTGGGAAATTATTGAATCTAATATCCTTACCGTACTAGAACTTATTTATTTTTTCAAAATTAAATTCTTTACTGAAAATAAAAAGACCTTAAATAAATAAATCTCCTCATTTGTAATCCCTCCCTTCATACACACATATATATATTAATTATTTCAACCCCTTTACACCATAATTCTTTCTTCTTCTTTTCTCCTCTGAAAATAAAAAATGGTGAAAATATTTATTGAGGAGTTTAGATATTTTCTTGTTATTATTTTAGCAGTGTTAATTGGGTCATCAGAAACAAATGGTTGTGCTTTATTTGAAGGAAATTGGATTATTGATAATTCATATCCATTGTATTGTATGATTCAAAAGCTTGTCCATTTATAAGGAGTGAATTTGATTGCATCAAATTTGGAAGAACAAATCTTGATTATCTCAAATATAGATGGCAGCCCCTTAATGGTTGTGTTTTGCCCAGGTTCATCTCTATCTCTCTGTTCCGTTTTATATGACTTAATTATTTGCATAAAAGGTTCGAATAAAGTATTGCATAATTATTTGCAGGATTATGGAGTTGAAATAGTATTATTTCATTCGAACCTTTTAGTAGACATTGAAGTCGAAAAATTGGACGTGTGTTGAAACTAGATTCAATTAAAGATGGACAAATTTGGAAGAATTTTGACATTTTGATATTCAATACTTGGCTTTGGTATGCAAGAAGACCACCTGGACAACAGTATGTTCATTAGTATTCAACTTCTTTTTTATTTTCAATTTACTCCGTCTGATCAATAAGTTAAGGTTTCACGTGAAAATAATCTCTTGCTGAAATTCAAAATAAGATAATAGCCGAACGTTTCAAAAACCTCATGACCATGAACTAGTGCATCTATCACACTATATCTTTTAATAAAATGAGTTTTACGATGTGCGAATATTGGTTGTAGGTGGGATTTTGTTGAATATAATGGCCAAATATTGAAAGATATGGATCGGGTCGAAGCTTTCCGGGCTGGGATAAAAACATGGGCCAAATGGGTTGAAACAGATGTGGATACAACAAAAACCAAAGTTTTCTTTCAAGGAACATCTCCAGCCCATTACCAGTAAGAACTTTTCATTCATATAATTTCATTTTTATTTTGAGCTATAATATTTCTTTTTTATTTTATGTTATAAATCTCTTTTCAGGAATAAAATTGAAATAAAAATTGGAGATAGAATATATTTTAAACAAGAGTATATATCCTTAACTGATTGTTTAGGTTTTCCTAATTGCTAACTTAATTTAAGAGAACATAATAGCTTTATTTTCATGATATTTACTGACCTAAAATTTGCTCGAGTTTATTTGTCACCTTAACAAAATAAACTAACTTAAATGGTGTAGTTGTTATGAATATAACTAAGATGGAAGACTTATGTGGGAATATGTCAAATTACATTTGAGACTCTAAAGATGTCAATATACAAAATAGTAAAATAATCTATTAGGACGATGCTATGAAGTTGTCTCATTATTTCTTAGTTGCTTTAGATTAATTTTGGAACCTCCCTTCTCTCTTTTAATTTCTTGTTCTTCCCTTGGAAGATTTGTTACTAGTTTGTCGTAATTATAATAACAAACTATGATGGTTGAAGAATGGAAAAATCTTACATATGTGGTTAATGAGACATGTGGTATCCTTATTAAGGCTTAGGTAAAACTAACTCTTTTGAACTAGTTTCTGGTGTGAGTCTGATGTTTGCCCCCTAAATTAAATTATCCACGCTCTAGAGATGTCCAGTACTGAGCGTGAGATGGGGTGTTAAAAGAATGAAAAAGTAATAGTGATGGACA